GCACTTTTTTTCCTACACGTCTTATCATGCTGATGGGTTCGTGGTAAAATTGTGTCTGGAAGTCGCGTCGGATATCACATTTCTTCGGGAGAAAAGTAATAGCTAGAAAAATACACCGTTTCCTCAACAACGATTTGGTTGTCACAGTAAATTCATAGTCAAATACAGTGTACATAATTTAATAAAAGGAGAATCGGTTGATACCACGAATTTCCCATGGACTTACCCACTGTGACTACCAAAATGTTGTCAGGGAAACGGTACATTTTACTTGTATTGTGTTACGTGTTAAACGTAACCATGAGTCAATATATCCGTGTACAGCGTGGATAATCTACGATGACTAGTGTAACAGCTGGCTTGACGTTTTGGGGTTTTTACATAATCTAAAATATTTTTATACGTTCGTAACTTTGTCAATATAAATTCTACAAAACACTGAATGGTGTTAATAAATCTGTACTGTCCAGACGTAGGTGAATTACGTGTTTAATTTTTAAAATCGAACGATTAAATTATAAAATTTAAGGTGATTTTTTTCGTATTCTAATGCAAACAATTAACACGTTCACTGCAAATCGTTTTTATAGCACTCGGTGTGGTTGAAAAATTAATTTTTTTTTATGATGACGCAAATTCGCGTCATCATAAGGATAGTTGTATATTTATCATTCTTACTCAATTATCAATTCCGAAAGTACCAAAAAAATTTGAAAAATGTAACTATGTATTATTAAATAATATAAAAGATTCGAGTTCAAGAAAAAAATAAATCAAAAACAAAATTTACCTGATTTTAGACCATGATATCGTCGTACATCATCACTTAAAATAGACATGTGAAAATCATATAATGACATTTTTCATCCAAAACTGTAATACAAGTGTTAATCTCACATTCTACAATGCATATACAATAACGCTGGAGAAAATAATAAGTATACTATCCAGCGCTGGTCGAATTATTACAGATTGAAAAAATGTACGAAGAAGATGTATTTATACGTAAGCAAACCAACCAAATGACGAAAATATGTATTATTCGCAACGAACGTGTTAAAGCGACTTTTGGAGGTTGCATCCACGTAGCTGCCATGAGTTTTAAATTAAGGATAGTGTATCTATGGATAACGAAATCAATAATAAAATAATAATGATATATCGTGTACAGGGCGTACATTTATTGATGCAAGCTCGTTTAATACAATTGCACGCGTGTGGAATTGAGTTAAAACCACCCCGACCACCATCCCACCTTTCACCCTCGTGGATCACGGTTCACGTATAAACGAATTACCTCTTGGTATTTCCTAATGGCTATAAACGTTATAGTTTGTAATCGTAGTTACTTTGGAATATTTGCAACATCGACGCGTTTATTTTTACCTCTTGCGCAGGAATCGTCTCGGAAATCCTAAACTATACATTTATTATTCGGTTCATAGGACAAAGCAATAACAATAGTTTACGTTGACATATATTTCTTCGTATATAAGATAATATAGGCGTAGCACTTTGTTGTTGATATTTTAATTTTGATGAAAAGATAACAGTGCCGATATTTTGATAGACGGATTATGGTAATATACATTATGACGTTGACAGATAACGATCGAAATATATATCAATACTTATATTATGTAGTATTAAGTAATCCTTGGGTTCATCCGTCACCTCTGAACTTAAACGATTATTTAAATGCATAAGTGGGTACATTATATGACAAAAAATCTTTATTTTATGTAATATAATATTTTTTCGAATCTGTGATTTGGTTAGGGCGCAGCGATTATTACATTTTGATGATGACCGATTACCTTATAAAACAAAATATTCATGTTAAAAGCATTTCTATTTTATCAATAAAATAATTTTTTATATTTTTTTTTGCGGCTATCGTTGACCTTTATCATTCAGTTGGAACAGGTATGATCGATAAATATGAATCAGCTCTGAACTCCTCTACACGACTCTTAGACAAATATCAAGTGGGGATGGAAAAAAGCTTTGAAGGAGCTAATCTTCAATTAAAACTCGTTAAAACGGAATCCCCATCGTACCCCAAGAAACGAAGCCTTTTCATGGTTCTATGCGCAGATTAAACATTTTAAGTGTAACCACAAATTACATAAAACCGTCTAATTGTATCTATAATCTGTGACCTTACGATGACCCCTAGTGGTCGTGACTAAACATCCGCCGATAATAATACGACCGTACTCGGCTTGCGTTAACGACAGCCGACACTCGGGATACATTAAATTAACATGCATAGATAGGTTTTTCGCGGAGTCAAAGGATTTCCGAGTGTGCAGGAGATAAAAATTTAAAAAAAAAAAACCCCGGGATTTCGATCGTATACAAGCCTATACACGTGGTTGTAAATCATGAACGGGCGATAATAATACAACCGACCCCGAACCGAATTCATATCGTTCGGTATCGGGATAAACGGCGGTGTATGGATTACCCATTATTGTGGTGTATATTTTTCAATAAGTTCTCGCAGTTACGATGTAAAATCAGCCGGTCCGGAAAACACGTATTTTAGGCCTTGAAAAAAACACCACCGCGGGGATCGATACGTATACCGTTTTTCGAAGTACAATATTATTTTATTAAGTAATGCGTTGGTGAAACGGTTATATTACTACAGCGGATTTGTACGCGGATTATTATCGCGCACTATTCTAAAACCATTGTATGCGATATTATTATACGACCCGTGACGGACACAATATTTATTTATTTATTTTTTTTTTTGATTACTCTACATTGCCATACCCGCTGAGGTTTATTTTCAACGAAAAAAAAAATCTTTTCTCATAATAGTACGGTATTAATAAGAATATGATGTACGATCGCAGTACGGAGCATCGGTACATTGTCGTGTAAATACGGGACCCTCGAGATCCGTGCGTACACTAGACCCTTTGCGGATGTCATGGCTGAGGCGGCAACAAAGGTGTGTGCGCACATCGTTTTTCTTCGACGAGAACATTACGGCGGTATTGACGTTCCTAAACTTTTTTTTCTTTCGGGTGAACGGGTTTCAGGGCTGTTAGTCTACCCGATGTCGGTTCACCGTTGATCGCAGATTTATCGAACAGTCCGGACCGCACGTTTTATTACATTATTTATTAGATTTAGTTATGTTTCGCCCAAACGATTTATCGCGTATAAAGCGTTTCGATTTAATTTACCGTGTTCGAAACACTAGCGAAAGAGTAAAACAGTGGGGACGGAGTGACGTTTTCCGTTCTCTCGTCGTCGATGACCATCGTGACTGATCGGAACAACCGTACGGATTCACGCGGTACGATTATTGTAACCAAAGTTTGTCTCCGATCGAACCCACCGCTCTTAAGGTCGGATTAGGGGTTTTCAATAGACGATCGGCAAACGAATTTACATATGTACTGCAATCATAAATCTTATCCGTAATCTGCGAAATTACTAAGATAATATTATTATCGTAGCCCATAATTTGTAAGGTATTTCTAATCACTGATCAAACGGTATGAATTCCAAACAATCGAATGGAATTTCGATCGGTACCACTCGGTTCACAATACATTCATTATACATTACTAACTTCCGCTAGTATCAACGTTAACCGAAAGTGTTCGTTCTTCGACTATAACGGTTCAAATTGAGGATGTAAAATAATTGCTCAATAACATCGATCGCAATCAAGATTTGAAATTCAAAAAGTTATACGATTTTTGTTGTCGTATAATGTTATTATTTCTTCAAATTTATTGCTTTTTTTTTTTTTTTTGATTATAGGCATTTATTCGAATAGTTTTTAACGTTTCTCATAAATCTCGTGATTCAAAAGAAAATTGTGAACTTGCGACTGAAATTGAAAAATTCTCGTACAGTGATATAAGAAATAATACAAATATAATAATAATAATATGATGAATAATATAGTAAGCATAATATAGTTCAATTTAATAAACGTGGTTTTTTTTTTTCAATACTACTAACAGGGAATAAATAATAGTTGATGAACTGTTCAGAAGCAATTTTCCAACGTGCATCCGTTGCGTCCGAAATTAGAAACAAACCGGCAAATACGGTACACGTCCAATCCGGTCGGTGTATGCGTCTGACATCGCGTCGGACGCATTCGAAAAACAAATCATTTTCGACGCACCGGACGCAAAAAACCGGACGGACGTGTTCATTCGATAAACATTTTGAATAAACATCGGACGCAATTCGGGTTTTTGGCGTTGGACGTGATGCGTTTCCCAGTGCCGGCCCAGTTTCGGGGCCCGGTGTATAATTTTGCGGGCTCCCATTTCTATTAATTTATTAATTGTTTATAGAAATCTACGTTTGTTCAGGTTATTACATAACTAAATATATACTATGACTATATTTCGAACCGTCGTCGATGACACACAATCTTATAAGTGCATGCGCGTGCAATACTTTAAAGCTACGCGTAATTGGTACCGTCTTAATTTCTGTCGATAATAACCCGTCTTCATGTGAAAACCACACGACCCCACACGGGTTGCAATTTTCGTACCGGGACTACATTATTTTTATTTATAGATAAAGTGATATTCGTAATACATTATTTGGAGTCCCGTACAATCGCGGGGATCGATGGCGATCGCACCGCTTGCCCCCCCTCCCTCTAGGGCTGGCACTGGCGTTTCCCGATTTCACAAAATCAGCCGTTCCGTAAAAAAAGGTTACCCCTTGTTAAACAATGGTGCGGTTTAAGTGACGATCAAAGGCTGTGACGGTCGCCCGGCGGGCTACGTATAGATCCTGATCATGACTCCCTCCCCCGGAATCGCTCGCGGGGCGGGAACAGCTGTGTCGAACCGACTCGGACCGCAGTACAACCGATGCACGCAAGCAGTCCACGAGCGCTGCACGATCGTTTACCGTCCGCTTACCACGGTTAAAATGTCCCTGCGGGGTTGCTAGTAGTCCCGTGGCCCGTCGGGTCGTCCCTGACCGTGAGTTAAGCGTACCTGTGGTGTTTGCGCAGCTTGTCGTGATGGTCGTGCCGGCCGTCCGGCAACTCGATGCCTCCCTCGGACAGCGTGCGGGCGTTGGCATGCACGGGCCTCGGCGACAGCGGTGGCTGGTACGGCGACGGGCTGTTGGCCGGTGAGGGCGGCGGCCCCGTGCTGGGCTGCGGGGACACCGTGCCCGGCTGGATGCCGAGCATGCAGTACGGGTCGCTGAACCCTGTAGACGGGAAACGGACAAATAGAAAAAAAAAATAACCGTGAATACGAAATAACAACATAACCGTCAAGTGCGCAAAACGATAACAGATAATTGGTTAACAACAGCGGTCCGTCGACGTGCAATAGAAAACGAACGGTGCACCTCGCTCGAATGTATCACTCGCGTTACGAACGGTACGGCCGACGGGGTAGAACACGGTTGCGTACGTTTATCCCTTTTGGCAACGCGATTGTGTACGTTTGTAGATGGGTAACAAAAAACTGGGTAAGAAAAATAAATGAACACGATTGCGTATGTAATTGTATGCAACGTTGTAAAATTTACTGATTTCACTGTATTATATCTAATAAATCGAATACATATACAAATAAAATTTAAAATACAATAACAGTTCTATAATAGTTCATAAAAAAAATTAATGATAAAATAATAAATAAAATGAGAATCACTAAATAAAAGGAAAGTAATTAATAATTAAATCACTTCAGCTCCAGCAAATGTACAGCGCACACGTGCAGTTCATTGTTCCCAAGCTATGTTTATACATTATTCGTTAATCTTATCGGTTTACGATCTAATTTGTTTCAAATTCAGTACAAAATCACAGCAAACCTTCAACTCATACTTTCAAACCATTTTAGTACCTTCAATCTTCCTACATCAAAAAAAGTAATATATTTAATTAATTACTTAATAATAACAAGAACAGAATTATCTATATTAGTCACTCCCAGGTACGGTCAATATGGTGACCTTTGGAATGTATACCAGATAACTGCACCATGCAATCTAATCTGCCTAATAGTAAACAATCCAAAACAGTACAACCAATTCAAATATTTAATAATCAATTGAATAATAACGCTCTTCCATTATCAAGCTCCGAATGGCAGCAACAAAAAAAAACCTTCGAAACCTATTCACCAAATAGCCCGATTAATAACCAAGAGAAAAAAATTAAAATTTTTTACCTCGCCAAACCGATTCTCCGTATTATCTGAAAATGAACCCGATACAATTAATAACGATGACACTAATAATCAAAACGAACCCGCAATCACACAAACAAACAAAAACAAACCAATCACCAACAATATATGTAAAAGAAATACTTAATTTTTCTAATATTAGAAATACAATTGTCGATCTAATTGGGCAGAATAGATTCACTTGCAAATCAGCTACCACGCATCTAAAAATACAACCAGACACTCTTGATAACTCTACAGAACACGTATACATTTTCTAAAAGACGAGAAAGCAGAATACTATACCTTGAAACCTCAGTCAGATAAATCACTCAAAGCAGTTATAAAAAATATTCATCATACAACCGAACTCACCGAAATCACTTCTGTTTTAAAAGAGATCGGCTTTACCGTAAGGTAAGTGACTAATATAAAACACCAATAAACCAAAACAGCACTACCATTATTTTTCGTCGATCTTGCTTCCGAAACTATATGTAAGGAAATATTAAATATAACTTCCCTACTAAATACAAAAATCAAAGTAGAAGAATCTCACAAGCGCCGCGAAATTCCCCAATGCTAAACTGTCAAAACTACGGCCACACAAGCACATCTACTGTTCTAATTCTCTTCGCTGTGTTAAATGTGGCGGGACTCATCCTACCGCAAATCACACCAAATCACCTGACTTGCCGGCAAAATGCGCCCTCTGCAATGGTGAACATTCCGCAAGCTACAAAGTTTGTATTGTATTCAAAGAGCTTCAACAGTATCGCCGCCAACCTTACAACTAAAGAAACAATAATCAGCAGCAACAACTACCACCAACCAATCACTAAATGCAGTCCATCAACCAGTCAATATCACATCCATTGACGCAAATTCCAAGAACTTAATATCACTCATACGCAGAAGCGGCAGCTACTAATACATGTAACGCACCACCGCCAAACTTCCTCGATACCCAACAAACATCTAGCATTCATAACAATGTAATAACTACATTTTTAGAAGACTTCAAATGCATAATAAACTCACTTATCTTTCTCCTCACAACAGTCATGACCGACATCTTAAATATCAAAAACAACATATAACTCATTCACCAATAACTCCTTCACGATCCTCTCATGGAACACAAATGGCCTAAAAAATCACAAAGATGAATTTTTAATCACACTCCAAGAAAAAAGAATTCATATTACACTAATATCTGAAACGCAATTTATAAACAACTACTCACTCGACCTACCATGTTTCTGTTCATATCAGACTAACCATCCAGATGGAACTGCACATGCAGGTGCTGCTATTTATGTTAGATCATCACTCGCATCGCACCAACTTATTAATTTCCAAAAAGACTACATCCAGTCTTGCGCGGTATCCATATAAATCAATAGTATTCCCATCTCAATAGCAGCTATATACTGTCCTCCCAAACACACCATACATTCAAATCAATTCGATCTTTTTTTTCATACACTCAGCCATAACTTCATGGTTGGTGGGGATATAAAAGCCAAACATATTTGATGGGGATGCCGCACCATAAATCCTAGAGGAAACTTATTCTTACAAAGTATCACATGTAAAACCCTACGAGTCATCTCACCTCCCGGACGCTACATATTGGCCAGCGTCTCCTAGGAAGAGACCGGATATTTTAGATATATTTATAACAAAAATCCCTATAGCTCGCTCTACCCCTCGATCATAAATTTCTAAGTTCCATGCTCATATCATTCCCCCATTCTACTCACAATAAACTGTCAGCCTTTGTCTAACCAATACAATACATCACCACTACATTCTCAAATCAACTGGGAAAATCTTCAAGAATTAATCCTACAAAAACTAGTTCGGCTGAAAACCACAGCTGACATTAATGACGCAGTGAATCTCTTAACATACAATATACAAACCTCAGAATGGAAATCAACATTACCATCGAAACCACACATACCCACCACAATCCTTCCTTTATATATACGTACCCTTGAAGTACAAAAACGTCGCGCTCGTTGTTTATGGCAAAGAACTAAATACCCGGTTAATAAATGTCACTATAATGCACTCACACAAAATCTTAAACGCATCCTAGTAAATTATCGAAATTAATTTTACATTAAACATTTAAAATCACTTACGAAAAAAGACAGTTCTCGTTGGGAGGCAACAAAACAACATCATAGCGTGCATAACCCTCCAGCTATCTTACGCGACGCCAGTGGCAATTGGGTACAGTCTGATGCGAACAAAGCCAATATATTCGCAAACCACCTCGCTGACACATTCCAACCGCACAATACCATCTTCTTACCGGAAAAAATCAATAAAGTTGAGCAATTTTTGACACACCGCTACAAATGTCCCTTCCTCCTAAACACTTCTCTCCAGCTGAGATCAAATATACAATTTTAAAATTTCCCCAAAAAATATCTCCTGGATACGACCAAATAACAGTAGAAGTACTTAACCAGCTCCCCAAAAAAGTCATCATACTTCTGACCTACATATATAATTCAATGCTCAGATTATCCTACTTCCCATTACTATGGAAGTACTCTTCTGTAATACTTATCCTAAAACCAAAAAAAAAACCCAGACCGTCAATTATCTTGTAGGACTATAAGTATATTACCAATACTGTCAAATTTTTTTGAAAAAATGCTTCTTAAAAGACTTATTAAAACCGTTAAAGAAACAAAATCTTTATCCTACTCGCAATTTGGTTTTCGTAGCAAACATTCCACGATCCATCAAATTAACAGAATAATAGACAAGATATCTTTCTCTTTAGAGGAAAAACTATACTGGTGCTTTTCTTGACATTTCCCAGGCGTTTGACCGCGTCTGGCACGCAGGTCTATTGTTCAAGTTGAAGCTTATTCTACCATCTAGGTATAACCTGATTTTGAAATCCTACCTAGAAGATCGCTTCTTCTCGGTATCGTACACTGATTATCCACCTCCTCATCAAAATCAATCAACGCAGGAGTCCTTTAAGGTGCAGTCACTGTTCCTCTTTTATTTAACATTTTCATATCTGACCAAACAACAATACCCACATCCCTTGTTGGTGATTTTGCCGATGATAAGGTAATAATAACCATTAATATCGACCTAATCACTGCCTCCTTTTACCTCCAGGAACATCTCTCCTTCCTTGAAAAATGGTACAAGGAATGGGAAGTAAAAATTAATGAATCTAAATCCATACACTGCACCTTCACTCTTAGGAAAAAAAAATATCCACCTATCATCCTTAATGAACAAATTTTACCTGTCATGCTATATATTCGCTACCTAGGTATCTCCATCGATCAACGTCTCACCTGGGCTCCACATCTACATAACAAGCTCTTAACCCTAAATGATCGTTTTCGTCTTCTCCGTTCTTTTCTTACTTCCCACCATATAAAATTATCCACTAAATTATTAATATATAAACTCTTCTTAAAACCAATTTGGACGTACGCAATCCAAATATGGGGCTCTGCAAAACCTACAAATGTCAACCGATTCCAGTGTTTTCAGTCCAAAGTCCTCCGCACTATAACCAAAGCACCCTTCTACGTATCAAATCATACATTACATAATGACCTAGATATCTCTCCTGTCAACGATGTGGCTAAGACCTTCTACAGACGTTTTAACTTCAACCTACAAAATCATAAAAATCCTTTACCAAAAAACTTCTATAAACGTCTATAAATATAGCCGACAACTTATAAAAAAAGTTGTAAAGGCGGTGGTGTAGGGACCTATTAGCCTAGACCAATCTAATACTCTTTGTTCTTCCTTCTATATCTACTTTTGTTATTCCTATTTATATTTCCTCTTCTAATATCTCCTAACATTATTGTTTAACATTTTTTCTCAATTTTTTTTTTTTTTACATTTTTAACTGTAAATGTGTCTTCATTGGAAGGTATCTTTAATCTATCCTTCACGCCATAGTTATCAAACTCATCAATTTCATTTATTGTTCAAAATTTTTTTAACAGATTGTGGAAATAAAAA